ACATCAAAGCTAGGCGGTCTCGCAGTGCATCCCTCAACAATTCACCTTCCACGTTCGTGCACCGTCCCCGCCCGCATGCGCCGTTCCCCACAATGCCCAAGTCTACTCTACGCCGAACGCCGTTCGCATCCACCTCCCACAGAAGGTTCTCGTCGAAGTTGATCCCCCCGTCCAGGAGGATATTGTGGAGAGTGCAGACAACCACGAATTGTTGTGGCAAGGTCACTAGGTTCGTCTTATGGGTGCGCAAGAACAGACGCCACATGCACCTGAGTCGGTCGAATGCCCTCTCCACACACCCCTGTGCCACCTTTTGCCTCGTGTTGAAGCGCTCCTCGTCAGCACCTTGGTCGATTCCTCTGTACAGGGACACAATCCACGGACAGGCAACTGGATAACCGTTGTCGCCCAGCAGGTAGCCTCGCGTGACGACACCATGCGGCAGATTTTCCGGAGTTGTGTCGAACAGCTCGCCACTTTCTGCACGCCTAAACAACTGGGAATTGTGCAGGACATGGACGTCTTGCACACTTCCAGGGTATCCCACGTGAATGTCGAGGATCCGCAAATCCAAATCCACAACCACCTGCGCCTGCACGGAGAACTTCTGTTTGCGGTCTTAGTAGTTCTCGGAAGGTGCGCCGGCGGGCTTGTCAATGTAGATGTGTGTACAGTCGATAGCGCCGAAGCAGTTTGGGAAACCCTTCTCACGGAAAGCGCGTAGAATCTGCGCACGTCTCCTGCCCATTGGCCACTTTATTGCATCGGGGTACGCCTGTAGCAGCGCCGAAGTGACGTCGCGGACGGCCTGCAGTCCAGTTGCCCTGCCGATGCCAAATGCTGACGTGCCGCTCTCGTACGTCTCTCCGGACGCCCACCTGTATAACGCGAAAGCAATCAGCTGCTCCACTGACAATGGCATTCGATAGTGCGTCACCTTCTTCTCCATGTATGCGGCGCACGCGGCTACGATGTGGTTTAACATGGCCGTCGACATGCGCAGCTTCTGCCGGAAGTACTCGTCCGCCGCGTCGTCCCGAAGCCGGAGGTCCTCCCATGTCCCGCCAGTCCGTCGTTTGATCCACCATCGCGGAGTCTGCCGCGGGAAAACGCCAGACGTCACTGCGGCACCCAACTGGACGACTGGCTCACACGTCGCCGCGCAATCCGGCGCCTCTGCAACGTTCTGCAACAGCGCTCTTCGTTGTCGGAGCCGCGTCAGCATGTCGCGCGACGAGGACTCCATGTCGCCCATCGTGTTCACGACGACGGCAGTCACCGCCATCGCCACGGCGCCGATCTCTTCGTCGCGTAGACCGCTTGAGCAGCCATGACTGTCCATCTCTGCCAATCCTCGCACGGTTTGCCACGTCACGCCTTCGACAGCCGCCTCAGACACGCCCGCCGCGGAACCCTGCCGTCGTAGAGAAACAACGCCGAAGTCCACGATGGCAATGCTGTTGTACAATTGCACATGAGACGGACACGCGTCCGGTGCTCCATGCTTCCAAAGGACGGTACGCACGCCGGAGGCGAACGTGCGGCTCACCCGATCATGCGCACGCTCCTCGCAAGTTGCGTACACTCGAAAGATGGATTCCACGCGGCGAACGGCAGGGAGGCGCCGTATTCTTCAGGTCACACGCATCGGCAGGGAGGCGCCGTCTTTTTCACGGCGCACGCGTCCGCGAGAATTCGAATTCAAAATTTTGAAGTTCTGGGGAACCGCGCTTTTCACCGATCCGTCGACTCCTGCCCAAGGCCCACCGCATTCTGTACCACAGACACCGCCGAGGAATGGACGGACATCGGCGGCGCGGCTGCGTATACGCGTATGAAAACGGGCCGCGGGGAACCTTTTAGGACGAGTCCTAAAAGATGATTTTTAGGACTGCGTGTAACGACGCCGCACGAAATCCTAAAAAAATTTTAGGAGTCGTCCTAAAAATTTTAGGATTCTTTTAGGAGTGTCTAACGAGACCCTAAGTAACAACATTTATGAAAAATTATACGAAGTTTAGGTTTAGATATCCGTAAAGGATTTTCGAATCAGATCGAGAAACGTATAGCAAAGTTGTTTGGCACGACAAAGTTTAAGAAAAAAAATTCAAGAAACCATATTATCAGAAGACACCGCCACAGAAAATTGAATCAGATCATCGTCATTTAGCAAGAATATCCAAAATTACAACCTCAATAAAACAAACAAGTGAATTCAAAGTAAAGAAGACAAAAATCAAAAACCTAATTAGATCATCATCGTTGCTACACTTATGATCAGCGAGAGGGACTGTCCAAAGAAAAGCCAAGCTCATCCTCAAGATGCAATCAACAAGGCGGAAAAAAAAAAAAAAAAAAAAAACTCGACCACAGCACTCTCACAGATGCCCTTGTGACGAAAACGCAGCTGCCGCCGATACCGCTTGGCCCTTCTTCAAAACCACGGACTCGATGTCGCCTGCAATCCTCCTCCCACTCCACGTGAGGACGCGCTCCTCCCTTTCAGCCTGCATCAGCCAACCATCCTCCACAAACCTACGCAGGCAGAGAAGCAAAAGCAACCAATATGCCAAAAATCTCATGAAGACCTGCCCCCTTTCAAAGGCAGACTTCCCTTCAACCAGCGTTCTGGCCTGCAGAATCACTAGGTGAAGCGTGAAGCTGGAGATGGCACCACCTGTGCTTTCAAAAGGCAGGCCACACCAAGTCGCGCCACATCATCTCTACCCTCCCGCTGTCAAGTTTCGCGCCCACAGTCCCCTCTCGCCCACCGCGTCGCCAGACTCTCCATTAGCTCCTGCGTCGCGCCGCGTCCGCTCCGACGGTGCTCCAGCGGGGGCGCAGCGCTCCCGGTCGCGCTGCGTGTCTGTTCAAATAAACAGATACAATTATACAATGTTCAGGGACGCTGGACCCGCTTTCCAGCAGGTGCTTACCTGGTAGTTTTTTGGCAATCGGGGCCTTCGCTGTTGGGGTGTCCGACGTTCTTAGTTGCTTGCATTGGTTCACCTTGGGACTCGTCTGGAGTGGGACTTTTGTGAATTGGGACTTTACTCTTCTGGTCTACGTCTGTTAAATAGTGTAGCAACGTATCGGTAGTTACTCTCCGTGACGTAGACCGCTGATGAGTTCCGGTTCCGGCTGCCGGACGAAACATGTCGGGTCGTTTCCGGTAAGCTTGGTCTTGATTCTGACGATATGAGTGTGATGCTTACCTTCGTTCCAGGCTCCACGGGCTCGATCTTCATGTATTATTTAATAAGCTCGTTGTCACGTTGGGGATCATACCGATGTGTTGTCGCATGCTTCTTTCTTCTTTCTTCTTCCTTGGTCTGGGTTGGCTTTAGGTCCCTTTGGACCGATTGATGTATTGCTAAATGCTGTGCATGTATCTCACCTGCACTTCGACGTTGGAACCATCGTAGTGATTGTACTACAAGCATGTGACGCGTTCTATCGCTATCGAAGCTTCTATCATTTAGCTGTGTGCATCATTGAGCGTTGACCTTCCGTCATTCTTCACTATTCTTCATTCCTCTGGTATGGCGGGTTTGCCGCCTAATCGGGGCTATTTCCATTGCGGCTCTGTGAATCATTGGATTCGAATGCCCCGAACGTATGGGTGGGTTTCCTGTCACTGGGGCTAATGCTGTGCCCACCGGTCCACCTGCTCTTGCGCTCCCTGCCCCAGGCGGGGGTGTGGTGTCCTTGACACCTATATATCACCTGCGGTCATGACGGCGGGCCTTTTTACCGCATGCGGTCGGGATCCCGACCGCGGGGGCCGACCGCCCGCGGCCGAGTGCGGGCAAGAACCCCCGAGAATTTTTTCGGGGCCTAATAATGGACAATATATATGGGCGTGTAGATTAAAAAAAAAACTCAAAGCCCTTGCGCCATCCCTCTATCCCGGCAGTGGTACGAGAACTGCCAGGATTGAGGGCTTGTCTATTGGGCTGCTCCATCTATTGGTGGGGAGCGGCACCTGCTGGAAACCAGGTCAAGCGTCAGGTTGGTACTTCACATAACACATCGCTTGAGACCGTCTTTTCCTGGGGCTGTGGTTACTTATCTTGTCTGTCCTGGGCTCCATTGTCCCATGGAGCTGCTAGTGGTACCCGTCCCGTCCTCGAGCAACCCTTGTCTATTTACCCAGCCCCGTTCAGCAGCCCCCTGATGATGGTTTTCCTTTACCTGACTTTTGTAAACTGGCTTTTAAACCTTTCGAACCCTTTTGAACCCTTCCCCTTCGGTACTCCAGTGCTTAACTCTTTAAGCCCTTTTAAACCCTTTAAAACCCTTTAAAACCCTTTAAGACCCTTTAAAGCCCTTTACCCAGTCCGCTCACTTCCTTACCACCTTCTCTATCCTTGGGCCCCACAGATCAGAATCTATACAAGGAGGTCTGACAGGAGGCAACCTACATTTACGTAAGGGATTAAAGAAAAACTCTACACGCCTGTGATTAAAAAAAAAAATTGTAACATTAGAAGGAAGGGAAAAAAATATAAAACAAAAAACGAAATTAAAAAAATAAAACCGGCGATGATTTTTTTTTTCTTCATATGTTTAGTTTGTTGGGCCAGCGGTAAAACACTCGCCCACTGTGTTTTTGTGGTCGTTTGCGAAGAAACAAACGACACGGAATGAAAAAAACAAAAAAAGGCCACGAGTTAAATGCATGACTGTAACGAAATAGCAGCCTTGGGACTTGGGATAACTAACGCCCGAATACAGTTGTCATGTAGGCAATAACTTAGGCAATAAGTTTCCATACTGAGTATGGGTGTAGCCTCACTCACAAACTGCCTCCGTCGCGGGCGGTCCAAGCGTCTACCGGTATTGCATTCAAATATCTGTATAAACAAGGAAAAATGTTGTTCTGGGACGCTGGACCCGGTTTCCAGCAGGTGTTGCTCCTGTCTCTTATACACATCTAGATGTGTATAAGAGACAGGCGCAGGACGACAGACGGAGCCGATTCGGGCAGCTCGCACCGCAACGGTCGAATTTCAAAAGGAAGGTGGGCGTGTTCGTCGTCGTCTGTGGTGGTTGTCCGCAGATGAAGGTCGAGCGCCCCTGTCGCGGGCATGTCGGAACACACATCTGCAGTGGTCACGTGCGAGGGCGGCTGCAGAGGTGAATTTCAGGGCTGACGTGCGGAGGAGATTGCCTCTGCTGGTACTCGCTGTCGTCTTCCTGATTGTCGTCTTCCTCTACATGTGTTTTTCGTGGCGGCCGTGGAAACAACAACGCAAGAGGAGGGCTTCGACGAGACGGGCGGCAGGCAAACGTCTAATGGAGGGCATGCAGGCACGACCGGCTGCTGCCGCAGGTCAGGGAGGAGTTCGATCTTCTACGGCGGAGCCTCGAAGGCGGTACGACCCGTCCATGTACACCCATCTAGAGTCGTGGGACACGCCATTGCCCCCGTCGGATAAGGAGCCAAAGAAGGAAGAACTTTCGACGTTGCCTCTCGGTAGCGGCTCGACTTAGTTGTCGTCGCAGACGGTGCGAGCAGGCGGGTCGGCTTCCGACGAAGGGGGCGAGTTCACGTCATTGCTCCATCAAGGCTTGCGGGACGATGACGGCGGAGGAGTTGATCTGAGGTTCGAGTTGTGTTCTGGCGGCGGCAGGGAGGCGAGTCGTACGTTCATCATCGACGTAGATCTTTCGGCACGTGGCGTTAAGCATGGTGGAAGTCTGCATATGGAGCAGTCCACACGCTGCACTCGTGACTAGCCCGGTCGGGCCATTGCCAGCGGGACAGCAGCATGGATCGACTGCTCCGTCCGTCGATCGATTAACACCGACCTGGCCCGCACCCCCCGGGGTGGCAGCAGGGCCCCTGCGCATGGGCGGTGCACGTTCGTTGATGCCTGCGTACACAACACCGGTCGAATCCGGAGTGAAGGACGAGGGAACGTGCAGAGTGCCGGTACGTCCACGACCCACTGTGGAGAACATAACACGTGGAGTGCCGAACATGCGTGCACACAGCGATGGAGGCGAAGACGACGTCGGCTTCGGTGACGACGCAGACGAAGGGATGAGGGAAGACGTGGAAGCGGGGGACGACGACGACGACGTTCCAATTCGGCCTTTAGGGAAGACGGCTGGGACGGAGAAAGGACGCGGCAGAGGTGGTGTCCGTGGTCGATCCGTTGGCCGTGGAGGCAGAGGTGGCGTAAGTGGCAACGCCGGGAAGTCTCCGACGTACTGGTCTGCAGAAGACCAAATGCTCCTGGTGCGATGCAAGCGGGAGCAAGATATGCACCTCGCCGGCTTGTCTCACAGTTACGGGCGGATGAAGACGAAAGAGTGGAAGTGGGAGGACATGTCGAAGCGGATGGCAAATGCGGGGAGGCCGAAGGACGCTGACGACTGCATGAAGAAGTGGGACAATCTGTTCCAGAACTACAAGAAAATTCAGAGGTTTCAGAATGCCAGCGGGCGGCCAGATTTTTTCAGGTTGACGAACAAAGAGAGGAAGGAGCACAACTTCAAGTTCCGGATGGGCAGGGCACTGTACAACAAGATCCACGCGGGCATGGTGGGGAACCACACGATTTTCCCTCCCAACGTTGTCGACACCGGCAGTCCGGATGGGGTGCAACTGCCCAGGCGAGGAGCGGGTGGCGGGGAGTCTGTTTGTAGTGAGGCGGCCGGTGAAGGCTGCCCTGACGAGCGTTCTTCTGCGAGGGAGTCCGACAGCAACGTAGTCAGCGGGGCGGGAGGCGGGAAGCGTAAGAACGCGCGTCAGCAGGCATTCGAGTCCATCTCTGATGTCATGGAACGCCATGGCGCACTGATGTCGTCGATGATCGAATCGTCTAGCAAGCGGCAATGCAGCATCTTCACGAGGCAATGCGACATACTGGAGCAGGAAGTTGCCGTCCAAAAAGCGCACTATGCGGCGTCCGATGAGACGCAGAGGATGATGTGCAAAGCACTGTTGGAGATCGCTGCCGCCATCCGTGGTCGGTCGGCCATGTAGGCCATTACGTGCTTTGTTGATCAAAGTTGGTTCTTTGCCGTCGTCATGGAGTTCTTTTTTTTTTTCGGTTGTGAATTTTATGATGTTGCCATTGGCGATGCTTGTGGACGGCTGCCGCGGAAGCAATGCCAAGTAGTTGACGGACAAATGGGGGCGGCGAGAGGGGGGGAGGTGTGTTTTTGTGTGTGTGTGTGTGTGTGTGTTTAAAATTTTTTTTTTTTTTTGCCGTAGTTAGAATTGGGCGTGGTTTGCTGTGGAAGCGGGTTGTGAGGGGGAATGGNACTCCTGGCCGCACAGCCGAGAGTTACTAACACCACCCTACTGAAGCCTCATGCAGCACAGCAATTGGCTTTCTTTTTTTTTTTTTTTTTTTTTTTTTTTTTGGGAAACCCCTGGTAACATCCCTCTATCCCAGCGGTGGTACGAGAACCGCCAAAATTGAGGGCTTCTCTGTCGGGCTGCTCCATCTATTGGTGCGGAGCGACACCTGCGGGGAACCGGGTCCAGCATCCCTTTGACAGATCTTGTAATTCAGAAGTTGGTGATTGATTTTTTTTTTTTTTTTTTTTTTTTTTTTTTTAGAAGTTGGTAATTGTTGTTCACTGGGGCTGCAGTAGTTTCTGCTGCCATACCGGGCGGGGCTCCTTCATCCCTTGGAGCTGCTAATGATACCCAACCCATCTTGGAATTGGCAATTTTTTTGGGAGAAGCTCCATGCAATTTTTTTTGTAAGAAGCTCTAGGAGTTCCCTAGAGTTTGCAAAGGTCGGATCGAAAGAAACAGGGAAATGTAGAGTCCCAAAATGATGCCAGGGGGCGTGTCCCACTAGCAGGGGTCTAGTTTACGTCTCCAACGTGGTCACACTAGGGCGGTGAGATTTTCAGATCGGATGGCAGGGAGCCATGTATACTCGTAACCAGAACAAAACCTTGAGAAGTGGGACATGGGCCCAGGTCTCATAGAGAGAGTCAGGGAGGTACGCCGCCACAGGCCCGCACACCAACGCGAATATCGAAGGGTGGGTGTGGCCGCTTCGCCAAAGTCAGGCGAGAAAACGACCGGCCCTCTGTGAGAACTGCCGATGGACTTGACTGGGTTGCAAAGGTCCGCATATGCAACGCCCGCGGCTGCTGGTCTGGCTCCCGAAGGCCTCATATACAAGAGGGAGAGGGAACGCAGTCCGCCGTGGCTCGCCAATCACCGGCCTCATATACAATTGCTGCTCCAGCTGGTGGAACCAGGACAGCTGGCGAAACTGTTCTGCATCCTGGGTTAGTCCCAGGTCCCAGGTCCCAAGGAACGCAAATCACCGGGCTCATACTATACGATTGCTGCTCCTGCTGCTGGGACTGGGACACGGCTGCCAAAGCTGTTCGGCACCCTGGGTTAGTCCCATATCCCACAACCTCAGATCGCTGATGTTGCCTTGCGGGTAATGCACACCGTAGATGTAGGGCGTAGTTGTGGCTGCTCCGGTGTGAGATGAAGCGTGCCATCATAGATGGGGTAAATCCACAGTCAGAAAAAGTCCAGTCCCAAGTCCCAAGTACCAGGTACCAAGTCCCAAGTCCCAAGTCCCAAGTCCCAACTGAATTCAACTTGGAGATAAACCACCGGTCAGAAAAAGTCCAAGTCCCAAGTACCAGGTACCAAGTCCCAAGTCCCAAGTCCCAACTGAATTCAACTTGGAGATAAACCGCCGGTCAGAAAAAGTCCAAGTCCCAAGTCCCAAGTACCAGGTACCAAGTTCCAAGTCCCAAGTACCAGGTACCAAGTCCCAAGTCCCAACTGAGTTCAACTTGGAGATAAACCGCCTATAACAGCCCAAGTGACGCAGGCCGACCAAATAGGGGCCAGTCACTATCAGTCAGAGGAGTAGGGCGGTTGCAAAAGGGACAAAGGGACAGTGTAACGATAACGAGACCCCTTTAAAAATTCCATTCATCTCTTTTTCACCTTTTCAAAATTAAAAAACGGGCGACGGCCTTGAGATATCAAGATCGAGCTGACCGGGTCATCTGTCTGGTTCCATCATTTAGGGCCTGGCTCGGCTACTCACCGAATGTGCAAATGATGAGAATGAATCAGAATGAATCTTCCGATAGAGCGTGGGAAGATACTTTCGGGCACACTTTTTGTCTTCCGTGCATCTGGTCAGTTCGGGAGCGAGGCCCTTAGGCTTGTATTTGAACAGTTCACGGGTTTAGCACCTGATGGCCTACATAGAACCCGTTGGTAGGCCCCTTTTTTCTCGACTTGTGCTTATCATCATTTTGTTGCGCAGGGGTCATTTTAATCTGCTCAGGGGTCATTTTAATCTGCTCTCGTCCGTCAGATTCTCACGAACGTCTCGAAGGAACAGCTGAATGTTTTTTTTTTTTTTTTGTGGGCGAAAGATGACCGAAGCCGAAAACCCTCCGCAACCCTTCCCCCCCCCTCCCCCAAGAAAAAAAAAAAAGAACCAGGCACACAAGAGACGTGAAACGTATAGACAAAGCAACACAAGTAGATCTGAGTTTAGCGCAATGAGCTAATCAAATAATCATCGATAGATTCAATTTTTTTTATTTTATTTTTTCAAATTCAAACAGAGCCGGAATGATGATGCTTGGTCCGAAAAAGAATACCCAAAATAAAAATCAGGAGAGGAAAAAAAGGGAGGACTGATTAACCAGAAGTAGGTGTTGAGGAAGTAGACTAAGGGGGAACTACCGTAGCTTGACGTTACTTGTACAGCATGCGCATCACTACTTAGATAAGAAAGCAATCTTCCGTTTTTTTCCAGAAGCCTATTCCTGATCGCTCGAAGTTGGAAGGGATGCCGTAAACACAAAACGCCGGGGTTTTTCTCTCATGGCCTATATAATTATCCACGCGGCGTCGTTGACAAGCTAAGGGTATACTCACAGGGAACCTGTTCAATTTATATGCGGTCGTGTTTGCGGTCAGGTGCATCCAGGAAATTCCTCGTGTAAGCATATGCACTAAGAATGGAATATCGAACACGGGAAAGCCAATTCTTGATATCCAAACCCTGACAGATAAGGCCGGGGGGGCCGGGGGAGGGGGGGGGAGGGGAGGGAGTGGAGGAGAGAGAGAAAAGTGCCGCCTTTCCACGTCCATCTAACGAGCCAACGAGCGAGCGAGCGAGAGAGAGAGAGAGAGAGAAAGAGAGAGAGAGAGAGAGAGAGGAGGAGGAGCGGGGGTGGAGAGAGAGAGAGAGAGAGAGAGAAGTGCCGCCTTTCCACGTCCATCTAGAGAGAGAGAGAGAGAGGAGGAGCGGAGCAGGAGAGAGAGAGAGAAGTGCCGCCTTTCCACGTCCATCGAGAGAGAGAGAGAGAGAGAGAGAGAGAGAGAGAGAGAGAGAGAGAGAGAGAGAGAGAGAGAGAGAGAGAGAGAGAGAGAGAGATCCCAAAGTAACCCTTCTCTAGCAGGAAGCCATCAAAATCGGAAGAAGGGGTAGAAAAGGAGGGAATGGCAGAAGAAGGGAGGGAGAGGAATGCTCGGGTCACCCGGGTCTTCCTCCGAGTCGCATGACCAGGACAGTTAATGCAGGTCGCCGCTCCACGCCACAGGTCGTGTAAAACCCCACAACAACTGAACACGCACTTGCGTCCGCAGGTCAGGTCAAACGCCAATAAAAATAACGATGACGCCCACAGACAAGGGTCGTAATCCTTGATGATGAGTGCTTGTACTCTTTGATGATGATCGCTTCTACTCCCCCAGAGTAGAATCGAATGCTTGTTCGTGATTATCGCCGCCGAGTAACAGCAGGGAGAGCACACATGATCCCCAATGATTCTCATGTGTCGGCGATCCCGTTACCAATGAGAACGGCTATTCACTGTCGTGGGAACTCCATTAAGCAGCCGCCACTAAGAAAAGGCCTGGTCAGCTACACCACCGGCTGCCAGTAAAAGACAAAGCCTGGTCATTGGCCACATGATCCCCAATGCTATAGGTTTCATCCAGCTTTTGACAAATCGAGAGAGAGAAGTGGACGTACATGCGCACCTCTGCATGTGTGTGTATTCGTGTGTGCATTTTTGTTTGTGTATCGAGTTTCCTGTTTGTTAGTGTGTGTGCCCGCGCCCCTATGTGTGCGTATTTGCCCTTGTGTGTGTGTGTGTGTGTGTGTGTGTGTGTGTGTGTGTGTGTGTATGCGAGAGAGAGAGAGAGAGAGAGAGAGAGAGAGAGAGAGAGAGAGAGAGAGAGAGAGAGAGAGAGAGAGAGAGAGAGAGTGAAGGGAAGGGGCTGAGCTGATTGGATGAGCAAACGATATCGGCTGAACCGGGCCGGCAAAGGAACGATCCGACTGCCTACAGCTTGCTGCAGCAGGTTAACGGCGTAGCTGGTAATAGTTTGGATATCTATGTCTTTGCCATTATTGCCAGAAGAGAAGAGGCAGAGCTCGTAACGCAAGTTGGTAGACAATGCCAACGTAAGACTGGCGCACAATTGCCTCATATAGAGCAGGGAGCATCCTCTGGGAGCCCCGAGTGCTACTGACACACTCCTTATCTTCAGCCTATTGACGACTCATTGTGGGCTTCAGCCGCTTTACTATGCTGTCCAGTTTAAGTGCCGGCGTGTTTGGGCACAGGCGGAAGTTGAAGCGGAAGGAAGGCGCTGCCATCCCCAGATGGTCGGAAGCGGAAGCGGAAGCGAGGCGCGCTCATCCGCAGTTTGTGATGGGGATAGTGAATATATATTATTGTAATTTACTATGTATATGTTTTTGTCACAGAGAGCCGTTCGATGCAATCAGCAGGCGGAACGGGAGAAAACGACAAAAAAGTGTTTCGTCCGAGATCATCAACTCATCAGGAGGCTGGAGATATATATATATATATATATCGTCAAATAGAATATATATATATATAGACATGGCCAGCCCGAGAGGAGGTAGAAGCGTTGCAGCAAATTGTACACGATCATATTGGGCTTCGCTCCACTGTACAACGTTCCAAGCGTATTTGGCCATGTTCTTCGTGCAGATACATTTTTCAAAATGTATGATCAGTTCGAGTGTATGTGATTCAGAATGGAGTCCAGATACCAGTAAAATGTCGAGTAGTGCGGCGAGGGCCATTGACTCCTGCGGACATGCTAGCATCACGCACCATCATGCAGCTGGTGCAAATGCGATATCCATGATGATTTCCGTGGGCCATCAATCCTTAACGTCCAGTTCCGGAAACAGGGCCAGATACAGACATCACGGCCATCGCTGTACACAGAAACAACAAAGTTAACCTCGTTTGTCATCGAAAGCCGGGAACAAATCGCCTGCACGAGAAAGAGGCGCGGTCAGGAGAGAAGTGCGGAAGTGGGGAAGGGGGGAAGCGTGGCTGAAGCCGGGGGGGAGGAGAGGAGGGTGCGCACTAGCGGACCTATCGGCTTTCAACCAGGACATGGTTTGAACCAGGACATAGTTTGAACCAGGACATGGTTTGAACCAGGACATGCTTCATCAGATTGCCAATGTCAATCTGAAAGCTGGTTGATCACAAGAAAACGAGAAAACGGGAGTTATTCTGAACCATGGCATCGGACAATCGACGGTCGACGGGGCCATCTGTGAGTCCGATGAGTTTATTCGCCGAAAACAAACGCAACGAAGGACGTTTGGGGACAAACAAGGTGTCCCACAGATAAGGTGGAAACAGATACGGAAAAAGGGTCAAAATAAATCGAGACAGACTAGGGGTCAAAAGAAATATTGACACACAATTGGACAATGCGAGGTCCCACTATCAGATTGCCAATGCCAATCCCACTATCAAGTACGCCATCTATAGAGCCGCCGACGGATGAAAGCGTTGCAGAGACCACCACGTCCTCTATGTGCCTATGTGTGCCTGTTGTGCTAGTACGTGCCAGTGTGTATATAGTGATCTGCTTGTGTTGCTGTTCTGCGTGTGTGCGTGTGTGCGTGAGAGAGAGAGAGAGAGGGAGAGAGAGAGAGAGAGAGAGACGGACAGACACAGATTGCGCGGGCTTAATTGGCCGATCACCTACAGGTGGAAATGAATAGTGGAGGTCGAGATCGGTGATCACTCCTCTACGGCGACACGCACACACACACACACACACACACAGAGAGAGAGAGAGAGAGAGAGAGAGAGAGAGAGAGAGAGAGAGAGAGAGAGAGAGAGAGAGAGAGCGGGCTTAATTGCCCGATCATCTACAGGTGGAAATGAATAGTGGAGGTCGAGATCGGTGATCACTCCTCTACGGCGACACGCACAAGAGAAGAAGACATTAAGCACAGTGAAAGGATATTTCCTCGGCTGGCGATCTGATATGAACGAGGCC